TTGTAATGAATTAGGAGTTTGTAAATAATTAGGGTTTCGGGGGGCAAGGGGCTGTGCGAGCGATGTGCCTCGAGCCTCGAGCTCGAGCTTGACCACTTCATCTTTTGGGCCAGTTGTGGAGGCCCAGGGTCGGGCCCATTGGTCGAGGTCGGGACCAAGTATACATCATCAATGTCCTTTCTCTATCAAACTTAATAGCAACACTTGTGGATTGTGCATATCATATTTTCAATTTAATAGCTCTACGTTTGCCCGACATTTTTGTGTATCTATTATTTGATATGGAATATGACTTGAGCGCTAGGTAGAATTCAGTGAAGTTTTTAATTCTTTGAAAATTATTTGTTATTGCTTTTCTAGTTCAAGAGAATTTATTTATCTTTTATTTTAAGATCTGAGAATTTTTCTGGGACACCGCTACATTTTCTTAATAAGCTATTTTGAACTATTTGAGGATGCATTTATTGATCTATTCGGCGAGCCATCATTCCTCGTTTAAAACTAAAATCATACATAATTGTAGATTAACATGTCGTGTCGATAGTTAGCTTTACATAGAGGTTCATTTAAAGAATTTGTTCAAATTTAGATGAGTAACGAGCAACCTTTTAAATTTCAGTGAGCAAGCAATGACTTATAACAAAGTTCAATAAACAAAGAGTAACTTTTTTAAATTTTGGTAAGCAAGTAGTAACCTATAACAAAGTTCAGTCACCATTGATTAAATTAGATTTTCAAATTCAAATTGTGTCTTGTCCAGGGGCGGAGGGAGGGGTAGGCTTGGGTGGGCTATAGCCTAGCCCTACCCCAGCACAAAAAAAATTTTTTTTTTTAAAAAAATATTTGATTAATTTGATTTAAATACTTGGTTAATTGTGTATCATTTGAGTTTTACACTTGAGTTGTAAATAAAATTAATTGGGCTAAAATTAATATTTGGGCCGACAAATTTTACTCTTTTTTTTTTTATTTTTCACCATGAATTTGCTTTTGAGCTGGGAATTAATTTCTGGATTAAGCTAATTTTATTCTTTTTAGTTTTTCATCGTGAA